TAGATAATTAATATGCACAGATTTTTACCAAAAACTAATCAAATCTGTGCATATGTTCAGAGCATCTATGTACCAAGTTTCATCAAAATCCAATGAATGGTTCTTTAGATATCAGTGGAACAGTCATAGAACAGATAAAAATTAGCTAATTATCATGCAAATTAGGTAATTAACGAGCATGGATTTTTACCAAAACCTAATCAAATCTGCGCATTGGCCCAGAGCATCTATGCACCAAGTTTCATCAAAAACCGATGTATGGTTCTTGAGATAGCAGTGGAACAGTCAGACACACATACACACACACACACATACATACAGACACACTAACCGCAAAGACTCCCATTTTGTGCTTCGCACATGGGAGTCAAAAAGAACGTAACATCGTGTGAAACGTACTTCGCGCTCTATTCGCTTTAAAGCTGCCGCCTAGTATGCTAATGAGCATAGTTGCGGCGAAGCCTTACAACTTATAGATGGTTTACTAGCTCCCTAATGTTACACCGTAATAAGGCAGCCAGCACCAACGTGCATGTGTTTTGTAACCCCTTTCATCCCCTCCGGGGGATGTTATATATGTTAATAAATCAATGTTAAATACTTGCTGATTACCGAACCGTGCGGCATGTCGTCGGTAAATACTTGTTTACTGTAGTTCGCGAGCAGACGGCTGTTAAGACTACAAAAGTGTCCTTGACTACAAAAGTGTCCCAGTGCTTTAAAATGTAGTAAGATAGGGGGTTATGCCTGATAAGTATCCCATGTGACGATGTAGTAAGCCAGTACAGAGAAATAACAGCAATTCTAGCAGACACTAAACACCGAGTATATATATATATATATAATTTGATAATTAAATCTTAGGTTATAATACAATATGTACAGGTCGTATAATATAACAAACAATATAGTTTTAAAATAATATAATATTTATGACGTATTAAAGTTTCGTGACTGACAGATTTGAAAATGTGATTTTATATTTATGTGATGATGTTTTCCAGTGTGTGCGAAATTCAATGGATCATCAAATAATTCAGAAGTACCGGTAGGACAGACGCGAACCAAAATTAAGATCAGAAGACCATCTATTTAATTTAAGACAGCAAAAACACCATTCATATGCAGATCAATCTCTAATAATGCATTTACTGATAGTCACAGTTCTATAATAACCATTTAAAACTGAACATTTCTATAAGGCGTGCTGTGTACCCTTACATCTCTTTTTACCTCCATGCATCGATCGACCATTTTTACCATTTAAAATTTAATTTTTTTATAAGGCATGCGGTGAACATCGACCATTGGGATTCGCGCTTTTCGACCGACCAACCAACCAACCAATGTGAATCGTGCTCTTCGCAGAGTGACACTGCGATCCTGCCGCAGAGTGCAATAATCGACATTCGGCGAGTCGCACAATCGAGTCGCAGATAGTTTTTAGACCCCCATACATACCTCAAAAATCAGCTAATTATCATACAAATTAGGTAATTAATATGCATGGATTTTTACCAAAACCTAATCAAATCTGTGCATTGGTCCAGAGCATCTATGTACCAAGTTTCATCAAAAATTAATGCATGGTTCTTGAGATATCAGTGGAACAGACACACACACAGACAGACACACTAACTGCAAAGACTCCCTTTTTGTGCTTCGCTCACGGGAGTCAATTACAGGGATTACAACCTAGATGATAAAACATCCTTGGATATGAAACACAGGCAAACAAACAAAATCAGGATGTGCCCCCATAGCGTGACAACAAATTTCAAGTTTTCAGGCCCCCATTTGACCACAATCGCTTTTTTTTGGTCTTTCTACAATGTATTCTTTTACACAGCTGTTTGCAAATATTAATAAAAAAAACCCTCCTGATATCAAAATAAAAGCCTAAGCAACTATCTAAAATTATGGAATTGACATATGACATACAACATCAATTATGATATTAACAAATTATGCCCTTCAAAAATCCTATTACAACTTACCAGTTGCGATCCAACTTTTTTCTGGATCTCACTTTTTTATCATCTTCCCACAAGCTGCCAACAACATGTGCTAAATTGTATATATAAATGAGAAAAAATAAATTGTAAATAAGTTGTACTCTAAGATCATTCCTATCACAGTCTTTGCACTATCACGTGAAAAAATTAATGGCATTCATATACAAGTCCACAAAAATAATAGTATTATTTTTGCTAATTTTTTTTTTCTTCAAAAATTTGAATAGCCGATTACTCTACTCTCTTGCTAGGTTACAGAATATCCTA